TAGTACTATACCGCTCCAAGTTCCCAACTAGCCCTACTGTGAGACTGCAGCAAAAGCTGGTACTCACAGGCTTACAAAGTAAGCACACTATGCTCCCACCCAACGCATAGCATCATGCTACTCCATCGAAATACCCAAAAGACTACTTTCCGGACATTTAAAGTATGACGACGAAAACAAAGTTAATATGAATGGTGATAGCGTATTTTACTGAGCAGGAGACAGTGGTGGGTACTTTACAGGAAGAAGGTAGTGCAGATCTGATATGAAAGGTGCAGAATTTCAAAATTATATACAGAAACGGTAGAGCTTCGAAGAAGATAGAAAGGGAGAAGACGAAAACGCCTGATATGCAAACATCAGTTGGCCAATCGGCAAACATTTCTACGCCACTGACACCTCCTGATAGAATATACATGGAGTTAGCAAATATGGCGGTCAAGAAATACAAAAAAACTACACCTTTGGTGATAGTGGATATAATTATCAATTGGAGATTAGGAGAGGATTCAAACTCGGACTTGGATTCAGTTGACGAAGAACTGAGAGTAGTCAAGGCTGAAGCTTCGACCAAAACACCTCTAAAACAAGATAATATTGCGCCAGAAGAAGTCGTGGTCTCGTGGAGTTATAAAGGATTATCGTGTGACCAAAAAGATAGAGTACGTGTGATACCAAGTGCCCAGCCGAGGAATCCGAAGGTATAGCAGAGGTAAAAGCGAAGCTGACAGAACTGGAAGAGATCTTTACAACAACTTCCAATGATATGGAAATGCAATATATTAGGATAGAGGCTTTGTACACGTTGAGCAAAAAACAAGATCTAGGTGGTTGTGAGCTGATTTTAATTTTTTTTTTTGGGATTTCTTCACTTTAGGTTCAACTTTTTGTTATAGTTATTGTGAGAGAACAAAGTTTATTCATTTGCTTGTTCGTGCAACTGCATATCTTAATGTGTACTCTTGGTAATGTATTTAGATAGGTTATTTTGCTATAGAGTCGCACAACTATTTGGTTGGCGTCTCTAAGTATTTCTAAATATTATATATGTACTCGTACTAATTTGCAAAAAAAAAAAAAAAAGTTAATATGGTCCCAACAAAATACCTAGAAGTCTACTTAAATATTGACAGACGGTGAAAAGGAAAGTTATAAAAATCGACTATGGGCTAGAGGAAGGGGGAGAGTCGACAAAATGAAACGTCCGGAACCTACAAAAGAGAAACCCGAAACGTTAGTAAACGTTTCGCTAAATAAAAAAAAAATGAAAAAATAGAAAAACAGAATTTCATAAGTTTACCTTATATATATATTTATATCAAAATTCTGTCCAAGAGGCGTCCAGAGCCGTGGTCCTAGACAACAAGAGTGAAAAAAGGTGAGAGAGAGGATAGAGGGTTTTTATAGTTTTTATACTTTATGAGTATAAAAATTTTTCCATAAAAGATGACTCATAATTATATTGATCGTATTTACGCGTCGCGTATAATTATAATAGGAAATTGTTAACTTGTCAACTGATCAAAATCATAATTTGAGGTTCCGATTTCCGATTTAGAAAGCTTGTTATATTCAACTGAATATAATAGTAAATATGTGAATATAATATATATTCTAAAGGAATCACTTAATGATTATTCGAAGTGATGTACTACTGCCACCCTTGGGGAATACTATAAATACTATAAAAAATGGTAAAAGTTAATGCCGTAAATAGTGATTCTACACTACGGTTGACTTAAATATCATATTAATAAAATTTATAGGTATGTATTAATCCGGTTATTATTAGGATATCATTGGAAAAAAAATACTCTAATAGAATTTCAAACAGAAACTTCATTTCACAATATTCTATATTTAGTTACGGTATAGTTTTATCATTTAGTGCGCTGTTATGTATTTTTTTATCAAGTACGATTTTACGGTACGATAATTATTTGCAGACCATAATATCTTATTTTTAAAAAATTGATTATTTCAGCCAATTATATTGACAGGATTTAATTTTATCAAATCATCTGGCCAAAACAATTTTAAAAAATATTTTTGTATTACTTCGAAATTACCCGCCAGAATTTAAACTAAAATAAATTTAATATATAACTCTCAATAGTAAAATCACGCTATTCATTTATTCATCACGCTGCATCACATTCTACACTTTTTTATTTTATTATATATTATGGGGACGGTGTGTGAATCACGCACCCATAAAAAAATTTTTTGGAAAAAAACTCTAATAAATGATCATTTTTCTAGGATGGTATTCGCGTGTTCGATACACGTAACGACGTGTGAATTAGTGTCTGAAGTATGTCTGCCATAAAATTGGATTTTTTGATTTTACGACCTAGTTCGAAGAAACTTTTATATAAATAAAAAAAAAAAGGTGAAATTTATGTTTTAAAATTTTCTTTAATAATTATTATTTCACATAATAATATTTTTTAAATGGCCTTTATATATAGTTAATAATGAATTATTTCATATAAAAATATTTTGTTAAATGCCATTTGATAATTAACAACTTTTTACTAAAACTGTAATAGTTGTTACAATTCTTAACTTTTAAACTACCAAACGAACTTCGGACTCCATATTAATTAAAATACGCAACATGCGTCACGTAACTTGTTCATGTAAATTCATACTATACTGAATTTAAAATTCACAAATACTCAGACTAATCGTAAATTACGGTAATGGCAATTATTTAATCGATTATTTCAGGAGTATCAGTATCACAAGAAATGCAAGCACGTTAATGATTTGCAACTGCGGTAGTAGATATCGCTAAAAAGAAATTTTTCGCCTTTCTATAACTTTTAAGGAAAATTTAGCCACAAAGATCACGATAATAAGTCTAATTTAAGGACACGAAAATTCAAAAAAATTCTAAATATATTACTTTTACTATAAATACAAGCATCAATAGATGATTTTAAAAATTTAAGACCAAAAAAAAAATCAAAAAAAAATGAGTCGTATTATTTTACTCCTTGCTCTTTTACCATAACCGGATTTCTGCAAGCGTATCGTTAACGTACGTTAACAATAATGTTAACCAAGTGATTTCCTTTTTTAGAAAGTTAACCAACCACTTTTAGCAGCGATTACAAACAAACCTTTCCATTTACAAAATAATGATTTACGTCATGATTACATCAAATATGATTTTACGCCAATTTTCACCCATAAAAAAATGTATTTTCTTATAAATAAATGACAGATTGTAACTAAACGTATAGAAACAGAATGGGCGACCTTTATCAAAATCTCGCTGAACTTAAAAAATGGTTTGATTAAGGATTAATAAGTGATAGTGAATACCAATCACTTCGCACACTTGCAATGAATTCCTGGACATCAAGTGAGTTAAGAAAAAGGTTAGCTTTATTATAAGAATAATATTTGACGTTCTTATCTTGAATATTATTTAACCAATAGCGAATCTGCCTCCACAAAGACAACCAGAAAGGTCGTTCTGGGAAAAATTGTACGACATGACAGTATACCTTAAAGATAAGTTCATGGAAAATATAATTAAACCAATTATCGAACGTTTTAACCGCCCCTTATAAAATTCCGTGGAGGAGACAACTAATGTATTTAACATACGTTTAAAAATATATTGTCTGGTTTGTCAGTTTACTTGAAGTCCGAAAATAATTTAACTCTTCAATAGTTAATCATTTATTAGTGTTCACAATAAAGGCGTTGTCATTTGTTGGTATATTTGCGAAAGAGAGGAGTCGTATGGATTCTCATATTGGAACATTTCTCATTTTTTTTTGTATTTGTCAATCGTTTTTTAACTGTACACTAGTAAATCTATATTATAAAGTCATTGTTTACAATATTATTCATAAGCACAAATTTTAGACTAAATCATTATCTAATTATTTGTAATTATTAATTATATTATTATAAAGTCCTTTATTATATTAATGAAAACAATGTATTACGTCATTATTAAAGACGAGTAAACAAAAACATTCTTTAAGAATTAATAGTGCGTAGGGTGAAAACGAAATAAAATCAAAAGATCATGCGATTACAATAATCGTAAGTAATGGGATAATTCTTAAACATTTTATTACATACTATATATCAGATATGTAAAAATTATAAATTAGAAAGAATTCTTTTTTTTTTCTGAATTATTTAATACATTTAAAGCAGTTTCCGATCACATTAAGGACGGAATTAATGAAAACAAATTTCAATACTTTGTTTACTATTTCATATTTTCCCGCATAATGTGATCAACTTTTCTTTAATTTATTTTGTAAACTCAATATTATTTTTCAAGTGTAATAGTAATAGTTCCGAAACTTTTTTAAAATTTAATTATTTTTTTAAAATCTTTTAAAATGAAAAAAAAACCAAGCGAAAGAAAATTAAGATTCAACAATAAAATATACTATATTTATACTCACAATATACTATCAAACACTTACTATTGTGTAAATGGCAGGGGATAAACCAGTTATATCCTGGCTAATTGGAATAGTAAAATTTACTTATTCCTAATTAGCCAAAATATAACTAATACTTATCATTAAAATAAATATTTCAAACCATTTTAATCTATAAAAAATTAATAGTCATTTAGTTGTAGTAATAAATCTTTTTATTTTCGACAAATAAGAACAATATACCTATCATTATAAATTGTATTCTCAATAAATTCATCAATATCATTATTCCAACTGGTTCATCCTTCAAGACCATTATGTGTAAGGTGGATCATCTGTTTTATAACAATTTTTATTATTAATGACTTTGACTTTTAATTTTTTAAATAAAGACTAACATCATGAGTATGTCAAATTTGTAAGAAAGGAGTTTCATGTTTGTTTAAATAAAATTAGCGTGCTTATTAATATATATTGATTATTTGTTGATTCAATGAAAGATCAATGAGAATAAAAAAGGAAAATCAATTCTCTATATCACAAACATTTTAAACGAGTCTTTTTATTAAGTTAAATAATTTATATAGATATTAGCTGTTTTTTTGTGGCAAAAAAAAAATTCAAATATTGATGAACTCATATTATGATATATTTATCAGTTATGTAGTAAACCATGTAATTCAAGTTTACCTAATGTGGCAAAGGCAGTTATGAATACCAATTTACTTGCTTGATAAAAACTTTTTTTCGCCATGGAAATGATCGGCAAAGACGATATATTATATTAAAGTCAAAAACCAGTATTAAAGTCTCCTTCGGTCCTTCCGAACTCCAAGCAAGCTCTTATAGCAGTTAAAGATACATCTAGTAAAAATTTTATTTTAAAGGAAACTGGAAAGTGCTATGAAACAAGGAGGCTTAGCTTGTCGCACACTTTCAGGCGCCCATGATATTTTAAAATCTTTAACTGATAAATATAGACAAAATTAAAAATGAGATTATAAAAATGTTTATAAAAGAATTTTTTTTTTAAAAAAAAAAAAGCAATTTAGAGCTTTGCCCAGTATCCTTTGGCTAGATGTCGACACAACTACCTAACCTAATTTTCAAATTTCATTAGATCTTTAATAACGTCAGACGGAATTATGTAATTCCAGCTCTGAAAAATGCGTAGTTAATTCATTAAATAATTTTTATCATAATAATAAATGTTAAAGCTATTTCTTTCAATAAATAGTATTTCGCAATATATAAAATTACATTTCATGTAAGACAAAGTAGCCATAAATTTTATCGTTTTATTTTGCCTTTTGACTTGGAGTAATAAATTCCTTAAAAATTTTACCTAAAAGATATGTTTCTTTCTCATAGTTACATTTAGTTTTTTTATTTATATACATTTATACTTTAATAAATCCCCTTTTTCGTAATTAAACGCATAGTTAAAATTTCGTAAATATCAGATAGAAAAGTAAAAAAAAAAAAAAACTTAAATTATTGAAACGTTTAATAAAAATGTCAATGATAATATTAATTATTGCAATAATAATAATGATCGTACTCACAATCGATAAGCGTTCTCAATTGATAAATTTGGAACGCATCTCATAATCGTAATAAATAATGGGAATAATAATAACTATCAGAATTAATAGTAAAAAAATAACAATAATCGTAATAAATAATCTCTTATCAACTTAAACAATTTTTTTTCCACATGTTTAAACAACAATTAGTAAAGGTTTAATATTTAATATTTATTTATTTATTTTATTTATTTTATTTTATTTTTAAAAAGTGGTAGTAGTACAGCTATCTAAGAGCCAGATCATTGATAAACATCTCGACACGCAGGATCTCATCCTTCGATAGGAACTACTCGAAAAAAATAGAACTACGCTAAATTGATCAAGTTAATTTAATATTTAAAATTCTTGACTTTAAATCACGTGATTTACTTTCATAAGTATTGATTTTGATCGAAACGTCAGGGAAACTTTTTTTATGAATAAAAAGAGAACCTTATTTATCATACGAACTAAACTTATAAATCGTACCATTACTATATATAATGAGCTAAAATTAGAAATTCCGTTGATTATTATTTTTTATTTTTCGGGCTATATTTTTTCCGATGCATTGATCTGCATTATGATTACGTTATTAAATCGTAATGTTGGACAAACATGCTCGATTGGGAAAATCTAGTGGCACAAAGACCGGTCTAAATTTAAATATTTGTTTTTTCAAGTTCTTAATATATCTTCATATATTTTACTTTATTGCTATTGATATTACTGCTGGAAGTATTCAGAAGATTTGGGCAGATTCTATGCATTATATTATATCATTGTATATTTCTGATCATTTTATTCTATATTTCAATTTTTTCCCAATCTTAAAAATATGTTATAATTGCTTCAAATGATCAATTATTTTATTAGAAGGATTATACATTATAAAGACAAATAAAATCCAGACTTATTTACTGATATATTGTTGAATATATTAATTAGAGTTGCTCCAAGAAAATTGAATTTAATAATTACTGTAATTTTAAAATGATAAAATTGGATTGGTTTTAATCATTGTAAGAATCGAAAAATGTTGCATTTGTATTCTATTGTTGATAAATATTCTCATGATTATGTTTATAATTTTATTTATATATAAACGCAATAAAAATATTAAATTTATACTGCGCCATTTGCGGAACAAACAAGCAATGATGTAACGATTGTAACGTTACGATCGATCTTCAAAATAATAACAATAATAAAAAAAAAAAGTATAAATTATTATTGACCGCTCATACTTTTTTTGCAATTTTAAAAAAAATTCCATCAAAAAATTAGCATTTGATGCGTTAAAAATGAGTATAAACAATGATACCAAAGCTTCTCTGCGGTCTGAATTAAATGTACTAGATTTCAATCATAAAAATTGTTCTTACTGTAATCAGCCGTTTATTGAAGAATTATGGTGTAAGAAATGTGACCCGTACAATATAATTGAAGGATGGACAAGTGAAAATCCCGATATTGATAAATTCATCAAAGATTCGATGTACTTAAGAAAATATGAAATATGGCTTGAATGGGTACCATTTGATAGGTTTACGAATATAGAACGAGTTGGCGAAGGCGGATTTTCCAAAGTTTATTCTGCAACATGGATAGATGGAAAAGCAAGCTATAAATATGAATATGGAAATTGGATAAAATCAGATTCTAAACCAATTAAAGTTGCCTTGAAAAAATTAATTGGATCACATAAAATGTCAATTGAATATTTAAATGAGGTATATCCCGTATATCATATTATATTTTTTATATTTTATAATTATGACTGTTTTTATTAATCTGCTTAAAATTTTTTAGCTTAAAATACATTGGAATGTTCATTTAGAAGAAAATTTTTTTCTGAGATTTTATGGAATGACTAAAGATCCAGTAACAAATGAATTTATTATGATTATTGAATTTGCGAGTGAAGGAAGTTTGAGAAGTATTCTTTTAAGTGAATTTAACAAAATTTCATGGGATGATAAAATTAGAATTTTAGGTCATTTAATATTAGGGCTCAATAACTTACACAAATTAGGATATTTCCATAAAAATCTGCATAGCAGAAATGTTTTAGTCCATTATAATTATGATAAATGTTATAATACTTATATTTCAGACTTTGGATTGAATGGACCAGGAAATAAATCAAAAAATCAAATATATGGTATACTACCATATATTGCCCCAGAAGTTTTAAAAGGAAAACCATACATGCTATCTTCTGACATTTATAGTTATGGTATAATTATGGCTGAATTATCATTTGGAAAACTGCCTTTTTGTGATAGAAAATATGACTTAAAATTGGCATTAGATATATGTAATGGACTTAGACCAGAATTTGGAAATGGAACTCCTGAATTTTATAAGAAATTAGCTTGTAGATGTATGAATTCCAATCAAAAACAAAGACCAAAAGCAGATGAATTAAAAAAAATATTATTATTTTGGTATCATTCTATTAATGGAAAAATGTTTGGTTATAAAGGAATCCCTATGAAAAAAGATCATCCAATTTTTGTGCAATATTTGTTCAAGTCCGTGCGGAAATCATACAATTATTGCAGTTTTTTGGATAAAAATGGCCATGTCGATTTTATAGTGTATTGAAAATGTGCGATCTTTGTACAATTGAAAATAAACTTAAATTAAGTATACAGAAAACGTTCAACTTTTGTGCAATAAAAGTTTAGGATATAAAAATTGTGCGATTATTGTACAATATTTGAAAATATACGAAATATACGTTTATTTTAGTACAATCGTTACAATTGTACGATGGGAGATCATTTTACTTTAATTGTGAATTGTGAATGTATTTAAAAAGTAATATATATGACTGTTTACCTACAATGTATTTATTTTAAATTAACTTATAATTTATAATAATATTAGCGATCAAGTTATTTTATTATAACAGAACCGCGTTTCTATAATATACATTTAATATCATTTAACCCATTTAACCGTAATTCAACCATATTATAATCGTGTATCAAGTTTTTATATTATAGTAAAACCGAAAATATCTGCAAACATCACAATAATCGCTTCATCACGATCACCTTTTCCGTCTCTATAATTACTTTTTCGATCACTTCCTTTACTACAATTACTTCC